AATAAAAAAATAAGTGCTCGAGATGGGTGTTGGAACATTGTCTGATTGAAACTCAATCATGAACAACTTTGTAACTGTGTATATCACAGTGGTTCAATTTTTAAAAAGGTTTTTAAAATACCTGCATCAGTGTTTCAAGAGCTAGCCTTGAAGAAATAAACACATTAAAAGGGTGTGTAAAAAGTAGACTGTGATGGAGACTGGAGAGATAGTCTGGCAGGTGGGGCACTTGCCTTGCACATGGCTGACCTGGGTTCAATTCCTGGCACCCCATCTGATCCCCAGAATTCCTTTAGAAGTGATCCTTAAGCATAGAGACAGGAGAAGTGTTATACACTGCTGCGAGTGGCCCCAAAACAAAACATAAAAATAGATTGTGATATTTAGTGGTTCTATTTCCCACCTCCTATATCATGTTAGGTTCATGTTTGAAAATCTGACATTTTTTTCACTTGTAAGATTTTAACTGAATGCAACTCTAATGGAAGGCAATTTATAGATGTTAATTTCAATTACAAATGCATGTAACTTTTATGATAGTTTAAAATTTTTCCATGAAAGTTTTTTAAATTTTGGAGCAGGGAGAGTGAGTTGGGACATACCTGATAGTGTTTAGGGGCAGTAGTGACTTTTGGGAGTGTTCAAAGGACCATATGAGGTGCCAGGGATCGAGCCGAGTTAAGTCAGATGTAAGGCAAGTGCCCTACCTCCTGTACTATCTCTTCAGATCGCCATGAATTCTTTACTACTCTTCTTTTTAAGAGGTAGAGCCGTTGGATATAGACTCAACTTAGTAACTCACTGCTAATGAAAAGAATAAAGCAGCATAGTCTGCGTTGCACAAGGCATTATTGGGTAGGAGATGCGGTTCATCAGTAAGGCACATGCCTTGCGTGCATGAGACCTTGGTAAAATCCTGGCACTGAATAAACAAAACAAAATAAAAGAAGAGGAATTATTGTGACTTCTAGCTGGTTCTTTCTCCCAAATCACTCATTCACACATCCATGTTAGGCAGAGACACAGGGAGACCACTCTGAACAGCCCGCAGGATAAGGAACTGCAGACTTGCACGAACAGGGAAAAAGGAACTGGGGCTTCTGACTACAGTCACGTGAGTGTGTGCTAGGGATCACAGAGAACAGGGCTGTCAGGCTCAATCAGGGGACCTGCAGGGTCACGCTCTGTGCACATGGCACACTGGGGACTTGATTTATGACTATAAACATGGAAGGCTACAAGGCAAACACTGCACTATCTTTCCATGGCCATGAATGAATCTTTTGGAAAAGGTTACTCCAAGCTCTGTGCTCTAGACCACAGAACACGTTTATTCCTCTGTCTGACATCTTAGCTGCAGTGTCATGAGAAATTCTGCCCTGTACCACCCAGCCAAACTACTAGCAGACTCAGGAGCCTTAGAAACTGTGTGAGGTAAATACTTTTACTTTAAGTCATAGATGACAAAGTATTTTGCCACAGAGTGATGAGATAACAAACACATCTTCTGACCTGGCACTAAATCTAGAATTTAACCTACAAGTACAGAAATATTCCCTAATGTCTAAACTCTCATTATCCAAACTCAAGAACTGTGTCAATTTTCGAATTATATTTTTATAAGCAAAATTAAAATACTTACTACCAGCAACTTAGGAACCAAACAAATATGTCGAAATAATATAGGTTCCCATGTTATGTGGTCTCTCTAAACTAGAGAAGCAAAAGTTTGGACAGTGCATGTGTGAAAGGGAAAACTAAAGTTACTCACTGCAACCATTTATAGTGGGAAAAGGTTTAACAACAGAAATACGGTACTGATTTCATAATGGCCACACAATAGAAAACTGCAATCACATGAAATGGTGGCCTGGATATACACCCTAATAAAAAAAAAATAGGGGGCTAGAGAGATAGTACAGGGAGTAAGGTGCCGTCTAACTATGCTTTTTTTTTTGGTTTTGTTTTTGGGTGAATCCCAGTGTTGCTCAGGGCTTACTCCTGGCGCTGAGCTACGGACCACTCCTGGAGGGGCTTAGGAGGTCATATGGAGGGTCTAGGGATTAACCAGGGTTGCAACTGCATGCAATGTAGCTGTCAGCTGTACTACCTTTCAGCACCTCTAACTATGTTTTATCTATAAAACCACAGTACTGATTCTGTGTTCTAGTTCATTTGGTTTGTTTTTTGTTTGTGGGACACCTAGCAGTGGTGCTCAGGGGTTACTCCTAGATTTGTGCTCAGAGATCACTCCTGGAGGTGCTTAGAGGACCATAAGCAATGTTGGTAATGAAACTAGGGTCAGCCACATGCAAAGCAAGTACCGTAACCACTGTACTATCTCCTCAATCTGAATTTAATGTAATTATTATTTAAACTATTCATAAAAATTCAGAATGGAGCCTTACATTGGTATGTAACATAATCTGGGAAGCTACTAAACAAGATTGCAAATCCCACCACAGATCTACCAAATCAGAACTATTGGGGAAACTGTATGCATGTATATTTATTTTTTGCAATGCTGGAGATCAAACTCAGATTTTATGCATGCAAGGAGTGTGCTTTAGAATTGAGTTACATTCCTAGCAAGTTGTATTTAAAGTACGTAAAAACAGAGTTTGAGATTGCTCAAAGATTTGGAGTGTTTGCCTGGCACGCGGGCTGGAGCTATAGCACAGCGGGTAGGGCGTTTATTTGCCTTGCAAGAAGCCTACATGGCGACCCGAGTTCGATTCTTCCGCCCCTCTCGGAGAGTCCGGCAAGCGACCGAGAGTATCTCACCCACTCGGCAAAGCCTGACAAGCTACCTGAGACGTATTCAATATGCCAAACACAGTAATAATTGTCACAATGGAGACGTTACTGGGCCCGCTCGAGCAAATCGGTGAACAACGGGAGGACAGTGACAGTGACAGTGCCTGGCATGCAAGGACCTGAGGTTCAATGTCCTGCATCACATGGCCTTCTGAGCACCTCTGGATATAGTACTGTTGGGGAAACCAGCTTCCCTCAGATAAATTTTAAAAAGAGCTGGAGAGTACAGTGAGTAGAGCTTTTGCATTGCATGCAGCTGACTGGGGCTTGGTTCTTGACATCCCATATGGTTCCCTCAGCACCTCCAGGAACAATTCTTAAGAGCCAGGAATAACCTCAGCATTTCTGGGTATGGCCCAAAAACAAAATAAAATAAAACAACCAAACCTCCATAGGCTAACAAGTGTCACAAATTCTGCTGCATTGTATATGTAAGAAGAAACCAGGATCCAGAGAGATGGAGGAACTTTTAAAAAGATCTAAAGGCAGTTAAAAATATAAGTAGCTCTTGAACCTTTATATCTCAACCCAGGTTCAATCCCTGGCATTTCATATGGTCCCCTGAGCACTGCCAGGAGATATTCCTGAGTGCAGAGCCAGGAGTAAGCCCTGAGCACAGCTGGGTGTGCCCCTCCCTGCAAAAAAAAACAAAACCAAAACCAAACAAACTCGGTTATGTCCTTCTTTTTCCTCATTCAACACGCCTGTTTCTCTTCTGTTTTTCAGTTGTGGAGACAATTTACCATTTGTCTAAAGATTTGCTAAATACTTTGTATATTTCTATAGTTTTGCTAGAACAAAGGACTAAGCTACAGCTTAGTGTCCCTAAAACTCTACTGACTGGAAGGATGGGGAAAGGAGTTATGAACTGGGGGGCCAAATGCAGTCCACTACTCCTATTTGTAAATTTAAAAAATATAATATAGTAATACCTAATGTTGGGAATTGAACCTAGGTCGGGTTGGGTTCAATCCCCAACATCCCATATGGTCCCCCAAGTACCACCAGGAGTGATTTCTGAGTGTAGAGCCCCGGAGTAACCCCTGAGCATCGCTGGGTGTGACCCAAAAAGAAAAAAAAAAGACATGAGAGGAAAGAGAGGAAGTACTTTTTCAGAAAGAAGATGGGTTTCTCCAGTGTGGAAAAAGCAAGCAAGCCAAGGTTCCTGTTCAAAGGAGGAGAGCACAGGCTTGAGAGAGCTAGTGTCCACCGGGTTTTTTAAAGGGTTTTCAGACTTCCTTGGAACTTGCTTCAACTGCTGACCAGACCTGGGATCATTCACAAAGGACTTTGCCCTGATGTAATCTTGAAACCAGGGAAAGAATTCTAGTTTCCCCTACCCTCAAAGAGCTGCTGGGAGCATCAAATGCTTTGGAAAGGGTACTATATAAGTGCAAAGCCTATGAATTTAAACCTAAATATGATTTGTTATTATTAACAATATTGGAAATTACAGTGCCTAAATTTAACATATACATATTTGTGTGTATATATATATACATATATATGCACATGTATATATTCTGTAGCCTATGGAAGTGTGTGTGTGTGCACACTCACATATATATGTGAGCGACAGCACAGCGGTAGGGCGTTTGCCTTGCATGCGGCCAGCATAGCCGAGCCAGGTTCAATTCCTCCGCCCTTCTTGGAGAGCCCAGCAAGCTACCGAGAGTATCTCGCCCGCATGGCAAAGCTTGGCAAGCTACCCATGATGTATTCGATATGCCAAACACAGTAACAACAAGTCTCAAAATGGAGACTTTACTGGGCCTGCTGGAGCAAACTGATGAACAACGGGAGGACAGTGCTAATAGTGCTAATACCTAATTTTTTTTTATTGTCTATGACTGTTTCCTTGCTACAACTGCAAGAGAAAGTCTGCAGAGAAGGCATTTTGATGCTGGTGTAAAATCATGAAGCTCATCCTGTCATTACAACTGAGACAGTGATCAGAAACTCTTTTGAGCTGTGTTGTGATCCTGTTTATTATGACAGGCAATTCTTCTAGGCCAAGTAATAATTAGTCACCAACAGCTAAATGCTAGGTAGGAGAAACAAAAGAATGACAAACAAAAGATCTTCAAGCCAGCTGACCAGGACCTGGCATTACAGATATAATGAGGAACCATCCTAACTCCGCCTGGTGACCAGGCAGGTCCTTGTCTTGCCTCCCAGTTTACCTGTTCTGCCAGCCAGGCAATGTGTTTGACCTCCTTGCTGCCTCCAGCTGCACTGGTTGCACCAAGCATGGCATTGAGTTCGGCCAACACCTGTGGGAGGAGAGCCATTATGTTGGTGTGGATAGCTACGAACCAGGAGTGGGCGGTGGCTGTATCCTTGCAGCGGAGAGTCAGCGTGTTCCTACTGTCAGGAGAATGGAGCTCTATCAATCTGTAGAAAAAGAGAGAGAGAGTGAGCTAGATCCTGAGTCATTGGAGCCTTCCAGGGCTTAACATTTATACATGTTAAGTGAAAAACAATTATAATTTCATATTTAGAATGTGTTCTTTAGAATTTATTTCTTAGGATTCAATTAAACACACACACACACACACACACACACACACGCGCGCGCGCGCGCTGGAAAAATAATTACCAGAACAACTAACTGCTGGTTCTGTTATTTCAGTGTACTAATGCAATGACCTAAGATGAAGAATATGATACATAATACATACAGAAAATTTCACTTTTTCTTAATTTCCAAATCAAAAATATAGATACACTATAAAAAGAAAATATATATTTAAAAAATATATAAAGATGGGCTAGAGCAATAGAGCTGTGGGTAGGGTGCTTGTCTGGCAAACCCAGAACCTCAAGAGTGATCCCTGAGCTGAGTGCAGAGCTATTAGCATTGCTGGGTGTACCCACCCCTGCAAAAACAAAACAAAACAAAAACATCTTATAGAGTTGCTGGAGAGATACTATAGCAGGTAGGGTGCTTTATGGCTTGCATGCAGCCAGCCCAAGTTCAATCCTCAGAACCCTATATAGTCTCCTGAGCCCTGCCAGGAGGGATCCCTTAGCTCAGAGTCAAGAGTAAGCCTTGGGCATCACTGGGTATGCTTCCCATCACCAAATTTAAAAAAAAATGCTCTGGAGATTAGTTATATGACAATGTGAATATACCACCAAAGTTATGTGTATTTACCACAAATAAAACAAAAATAGATAAATGAAAGTTAGGGTTGGAGAGACAGTGCAGTGGTAGGGTGGTAGCCTTGCATGCAGCTTACCCAGGTTCAAGCCTGGTACCCCATATGAATCCACCAAGTGTGACCCTTGAGCACGGAACCAGGAGTAAGCCCTGAGCAACACCTGGTGTGGCCCCAAATCAAAAAATAAATAAATAATAAAATAAAATTTTGAACAATTTTTCAATGGGATGTGACATGAATTATAACATAAAGAAAAAGTCCTAAAATTTTTTAATTGAGCCCAAAAAGAATGAGACTACAAAGAGCTCACCAGTATAGAGGAGAATTAAAAGCCCACCAACAATGAATGAATATTCCTACTGACCTTCGTTTAATCGTTTATTTCATAGTTTTTCTGAACACAGAATTGAATAGCCTCAAAACACCAGTGGATATGACCCAAACCCCTTCTCCCCAATTAATAATATATTACCAATCTTTATTGATATATAAATATATTGTTATTTAGGACGAGATCGGGTGCGTTCAGGGTGGTATGGCCATAAAGCGATAGCACAGTGGGTAAAGTGTTTGCCTTGCACGCGGCTGACCTGGGTTCGATTCCTCCATTCCTCTCGGAGAGCCCGGCAAGCTACAGAATAGCCTGGGAAGCTCCCTGTGGAGTATTCGATATGCCAAAAACAGTAAAGAGTCTCACAATGGAGATGTTACTGGTGCCCGCTTGAGCAAATCGATGAACAACGGGAGGACAGTGCTCCAGTGATACAGTTATTTAGGTCAATAATTCCACTGCTCTAAAAATCCTGTGCCCCACCTACTGACCCCTCCATCACTCATCCCTAGATTCCACACCCACATAAGCATTCAGTGTTAACAATGTTTTGGATTTTAATATATATAATTTTATGTCTTTGGGGTGCATGCACTGAGGGGTTGGGCCAGAACCAGCAGTGCTCAGGGGTTACTCCTGGTTCTGTGCTCAGAACTGATCCCTGGCAGCGCTTGAGGTCGGGGACCAGATGCAGTTCTGGAGATTAAAGTGGATTAGAAGGCAAGCACTTTATCTCCTGTAGTGTCTCTCAGCCCTGTATCTCATTATTTGACTTTGCGATTCCCTTACTGACACATGATATTGAGTACCTTTCATGAGATATCTATATATTTTTCCATTCGGGATTCTGTTCAGATGCGTTGGCTGATTGTTCTCCTTTGTTTACTTTGGGCCACACCCAGCAGTGCAGGGGGTTAGTTCTGGCTCAATGTTCAGGGTCACTACTAGTGATGTATACCATGTGATACCAGAGATCAAATCTGGCCCTCTGACATGCAAAACATATGCCCCAGCCTGTTGAGCTATTTCTCCAACCCCTGTTGGCCAATTTTCCATTGACCTGTTTTCTTATTCATGAGATTTTAAAATTCTCGACATATTTTCGTTACTATTTATCTGATATGTATTTTATGAAGATTTTTCTCTCCCAGTCAGTGCCTTGTCTATTTATTCCTTTTTAGTGAGCTCCAGTTAATATTATGTGTCAATGCAACTGGGCTAAGGAATGTTTATTTTATTGGTCAAACATTATTTCTGGACGTTTTTGTGAGTGTGTTCCCAGAAGAGATTAATATCTCAATCAGTAGACCCAGTAGACTGAGTGACAAAGAGAACGCTAGCCAAAGCAGGTATTATTCAATTCACTAAGGTACTAAATTAAAAAAAAAAAGGGGGGGGAATAAAAGAACAAATTTACCCTCTGCTTAAACTGGACAACCATCTATTCCTGCCCTTGTTCTGTAGTGTTGGTAGTGTTGGTTCAGGGGTGTAGAGTGCTAACCAAATAGTATCACTAGTTTCCTGGTTCTCTAGCTTTTAGACAGCAGAGGTTGGAACTTCTTGGCCCCCAAAATATCAGGCAATTCCCTTTTTTTGGTTTGCTTTGGGATCTGGGGGTGACATCTACCAGTACTCAGGGCTTACTCCTGGCTCTGCACTCAGGTATTATTCCTGGGAAAACCATATGGAATACCAGAGATGGAGATAGAACCCAGGTTGCTGAGTGCAAGGCAAGTGCCCTGCCCACTGTACCATTTGTCCGGTCCCTCTGACAATTCCTATAATAAATCAAAATCTCTCTCAATATATAAAGCAGATACCATTGGAGAACACTAATGCTAACCAAGTGTCTCCTAGAGAGCAAAAGTTGTTGGATTAAAATGAAATTCAAGTTTTTTCTTTTAATGTATTATGCTTTTGTTGTTGCATCTAAGAAGTCACCACCAAACACTACAATTAAAAACATACCCAGAAGCCCAAAGGGACAAGAAAGGATGACTACAACAAAACTATAGAAGCTGGCGAGCAGAAAGAAAGTGATTAGATGACTTAGTTGAGAAAGATGGGAAAGAAAATTAAGAAAATGATGGGAGGTTGGGCTGGAGAGATAGCACAGTGGGTAGGGCGTTTGCCTTGCACGCGGCCGACCCAGGTTCGATTCCCAGCATCCCATATGATCCCCTGAGCACTGCCAGGAGTAACTCCTGAGTGCAGAGCCAGCAGTAACCCCTGTGCATCGCCAGGTGTGAACCCTCCCCCCCAAAAAAAGAAAATGATGGGAGGTTGAGGGAGGGAGGGAGGTGGGGGGAGGAGGGGTGGAGAATAGATAGCAGAGCGGGGAGGGCACTTGCTCTGCATTGGCTTACCCTGGCTTGATTCCCAGCATCCCGTATAGTCCCTGGAGCACCACAGGAGTAATTCGTGAATGTGCAGATCCAGGAGTAACCCCAGAGCATCACGGCCCCACCCCCCCAAAAAAAAAGATCGAGGTGGTCATGAAGCGTTGTTATTACAGCGGGTGGAGCACTTGCCTTGCACACAGCTAAACTGGGTTCAATCTCCAGCCCACCAGGAGGGATCCCTGAGAGCAGGAATGATCCCTGAGTGATCCCTGAGAGTAGGGCCAGGAGCACCTCCAGGTGGCGCAAGACCAAACCAACACGAAACAAAAAGAAAATAATGAGGGCTAGAAAGAATACAATGGGTAGCGCATTTGCTTTGCACATGGGTGGCCCATCCAGGTTAAAGAACCAGATTCAATTCCCTGTACCTCAATGACACTCTGAGCACAGCCAGGGGTGAGATCCTTGAGGACAACCAAGAGTAATCCCTGAGAACCCTGGGTATGACTCAAAAACAAACCAACAAAGTACGAATCAGATGGGAATTGGAAGCATTAACACTAGTTATCTCTGGTACTGCGAATAAAATGCAGCAAAAATGCAGAGGCTGGAAATCTACTTTAACAATCCTTACACTTAGTGGTCAGTAACTACCCACCCTCATCCCAACTATCTGGGTCAAAGAATTAGCCAATTCTTTAGGTTGACCACTTTCTAAAGTGTCAAATTATTTCCACTTGGCTGCTTTGGCACTGTCACCAGTTTGACGACCTTTAAATGCAAGCTAAGGTTTCAGTTCTAAAACCATGACATGAAATTTCTTTTATGCCTCTTACTGACCTGCTTAGCAGTAAAGATAGAAATCATTTCATCCTTCTCTGAACACAAATTATTCACCTTCAAAAAAAGTCTTCAAACTTCATATGACAATCCCTCAAACCATTTGAGACAATCTAAGCTCTGAAAATTCCTATGTCAAAGATTCTGGTTCTTAATAATCAAATAGAAAATAATTCTGTTATGAAGCAAAACTAAGTTTTGTTTACATAGGAGCAGGTATAGGGATCACTGGGTGGAAAAAGAGGAAAGAGATAAAAACATGCAGTAAGTTAGTTCCCAGAATAAGATTACCAAATTTTCCTGAAAATTAATACGGTTGAGGGGCTGGAGTGATAGTATAGCGGGTAGGGCATTTGCCTTGCACGTGGCTGACCCAGGGTTCGATTCCCAGCATCCCATATGGTCCCCTGATCACCATCAGGAGTAATTCCTGAGTGCAAAGCCAGGAGTAACCCCTGTGCATCGCCGGGTATGAACCCCCCCCCCAAAAAAAAAGAAAGAAAGAAAGAAATACTGTTGTGTTTTGTAAAAAAAAATTTTTTTTTTCGTTTTGGGTCACACTGAGTGATGCACAGGGGCTACTCCTGGCTCTGCACTCAGGAGTTACTCCTGGCGGTGCTCAGGGGACCATATGGGATGCTGGGAATCGAAACCGGGTTGGCCGTGTGCAAGGCAAACGCCCTACTCGCTGTGCTATCTCTCCAGCCTCTGTAAAAAAAATTTTTTTAAATAAAAAAATAATTGGCCTGTGAATTCTCCAAAATAGGACTGATGATTCGAGGATTCAGAAATCTGCCTTAGAAAAGGAGTTTCGTTAATGTAAAAAAAAAAAATGTACAAGGTATTCTTGGGCTGGAGTAATAGCACAGCGAGTAGGGTGTTTGCCTTGCACGTGGCCGACCTGGGTTCGATCCCTCCATCCCACTCGGAGAGCCCAGCAAGCTACCAAGAGTATCCCACCCGCATGGCAGAGCCTGGCATGCTCCCCGTGGCATATTCAATATGCCAAAAATAGTAACAAGTCTCACAATGGAGACATTACTGGTGCCCGCTCGAGCAAACCAATGAACAAAAGGAGGACAGAGCTACAGGATAGACAGTGCTCCAAGGTATTCTTAAGGAATTGCTATTTTAAAAGAAAAATTTGGGGCTGATGTGATAGTGCAGTGGGTAGAGTCTTCCCTTGCACGTGACCAACCTGGGCTAGGTCCCAAGCACGCAATACGTTTCCCCAAACACCATTAGGAGCAACTCTTGAGTGCAGAGCCAGGCGTAACCCCTGAGTAGTGCCAGGTGTGGCACAAAAAGCAAACCAAAACACACATACACACAAAAATAAAAAAGAAGAGAAAAAGAAAAATTCAAGTGAAACTGCTAATAAAAATTTGGGAGCAGTCTGCCAGAAATTGTCTGGGCTCACAGGAGAGAGGAGAAATCAACCGCAGAGTGAAGAGTTTTGGCCTCGAGTCAAAGTACTGAGGATTTCCTGTGCAGTGCAATTACCCTTGATCATTTTCAAAATTTATTTTGAAATTGCTTAGGTACATAAAAGCATGAATTCTGTATGTCTAGCATACTGATTTCTCGTACCATAAAATATGTGATGTCACCTATGTGTTCAAATGAATAATTATATCATTTTATATATCACAAAAAATTTCTTTTTACATGGAAAACAGTTAATGTGGGGTTGACTGGGACATCCTGAAAGTACCAAAGGAAAGAGATTTCTAGTTCCAAAAAGAAGTGTGTGGGAACACCTTGTCCTTCCTGAACTCCACGGTCCACAATGCTGTGTGTGGAATGGGCTCATGTTCTCTCCCTGAGCTTCATCATTACTTATTTATCTTTCACTCTCCAGAATGAAGAGCTTGTAACTATCAGACCATCTAATCAAGTTTTGAAAACACAAGGTAAAAAGAATAGATGTCGCTTTCCTCTTTATTCATTCTGATGATTTTTTTTTCTTTTCTGCTCTAGATGGTAAAATTAAATGAAAGGACTAAAATAGAAGAAAAAAGTAAGATCTTTCTCATGTCAAATAAATATCTGACTTGAGGAAGTGAATGAAGTGGGTTGGAGAGATAGTACTGCAGGTATGGTTCCTCCCTTGCACAATAATAAAATAAAATGAAGGATGAATTACAAAGATATTTTATAACACATCCACCAGATAGCTTTAAAGTTTCTGTGGCCTAAAATAGGAATTCATTCAATTGGGGGTGGGTGTTTTGAGAGACTCCTGGTTGCAACTGGGAGCTAACCCCCTCACCCACCCCCGCCCCCCCCTACACACACACACCTGGCTCTGTGTTTAGGGATGGGGCATTACCCTTGCTCTCTGGAACTCTCAAAGGACCATTTATTGTCAGGGATCAAACCCAACCTCTGGCATGCAAAAGTGCTCAGTCCCTCAGGCTATCTCCCTGACCTGCATTCAGCTTTTTTTGTTTTTTGTTTTCTGTGATCCCTCCCAATCTGATTAGGCAAGTAGCTAAACTAGTGATGACCAAAGGCCATGAAAGTGAAAGCAGAGGTCTGATATAGTACAGGGGTTAAACAGCAAAGGGGATAGTAAATCGGATACTTAACCCCATTTTGTGCCCCAACTCTGCATACGGTACCCCAAGTACCGCCAAGAGTGACCCCCAAGCACGGAGCCAGGAGTGGCTTCTGAGTACACCAGTGTGCCCCAAAAAACAAGACCAAAAAAAAGGTGAAAGTACATCATAAAAACTTAATCCTTGCTATATTTAAGTTCTTTTTTCCTTTCCTCATAATCTCTAACAACAGATATATCTAGTACTAACTTCATCATACAGAATTAATGAGAGGGGCCAGAGGGACAGTACAGGGGTAGGGCACCAGACTTGTACGCAGCTGACTTGGATTTAATCTTACTCCCCCAAGCCCTGACACAAGTAAGCACTGAGCACTGACAAGTATGGTTCCTCAACCCCCAATTTTTAAATTTTTTTGGTTTTTGGGTCACACCTGGCAATACTTCGGGGTTACTTCTTATTCTGCACTCAGCACCACTGAGTGCAGCACTAGCAGTGCTCAGGGGACCATATGGTATGCTGGGTTTTGAACCTGGATTGGCCATGTGCAAGGCAAACATCCTACCAGTCACCCCCGCGCCAAATTTTTAAAAAATTAATAAAGGAATCATAGACTCCAAATGATTAGAAGATAGAAGGAAATTTTGTGGTGTTGATGGTGGTGATGGAGATCATTGCCCGCTAAGCTTGGGGACTACCTGGGTCACTTCTAAAGATGCTGCAGGAGAAGGGGTACCAGGCAGAACTGGAGATTGAACCCAGCTTATATATTCTACCACTTGAGCCATTTCCTAGCCCTAAAGATATCAAAATCTTCTGACAAAACCTTTTTTTCAATTATAAAATAATGTTGGTAGTTTTAAAAAATGTATTAACATTATCACTGTATCACTATCACTGTCATCCTCATTGATTTACTAGAGCGGGCACCAGTAATGCCTCCATTCATCCCAGCCCTGAGATCTTATCAGCCTCTTCTTACTTGTCTTTCCCAATGTATTGGGGGGCTCTTTCAGGGTCAGGGGAACGAGACCCATTATTGTTACTGTTTTTGGCATATCGAATACGCCACAGGTAGCTTGCCAGGCTCTGCCATGCAGGCGGGATATTCTTGGTAGCTTGCCAGGCTTTCTGAGATATATATATATATATATATATATATATATATTTCCCTCTATGATTTGTTGCCTACTGTCAATAACATTATAGAGGGTTTAAAATTAAAAAAGTAGAAGTGACTTCTTTCCTTCTCCCTATAATCTTATTTCACTCCCAGGAGTAATCACCATGAACAGCTTCCTGTGTGTCTGTTGAAACTTTCTGTGTGTGTGTGTGTGTGTGTGTGTGTGTGTGTGTGTGTGTCTCTGTCTGTCTGTCTGTCTCTCTCTCTCTCTGTGGTTGGGGTGCAGTAGTCGCACATGGTTAGTAGTTACTCCAGTATTCTGCAATAGGAATCATTCCTAGCCTGCTAGGGGAACCATGTGAGAAGCCAGGGATCAAAGTTGGTTTGGCTGCATGCAAGAACAAGAGTTCTGTCTGCTGTTTTATTGCTCCAGCACTTTGTCTCTCTTCTCTCTCTCTCTCTCTCTCTCTCTCTCTCTCTCTCTCACATACACACACACACACACGCACACACACACACGTGCGTGTGTGAAATAACTTAAATATGGAACCCCAAAAATTATCATCCCAGATCATTGCTTTTCCTTTGAGTAATTTAGTCAACAGCCATATTATTACATGAGGCTTTATACATAAGGAATATTGCAACATCCTTAAGTTTGTCAAGTTGTGAGTATAATGGTCTCCTTAGATACAGTTCACCTGTTTTCCAGATCCGGCATGCTTAGGTTTCTAGCGGCGAAGCACATTTTGAGAGGGATGACCTTCCTGTCCTTGATGCTGTTCTGGTGTTTTGGAGAACCAGAGTCCTCACTGCCACTAAAGCTCGGTGACTGGGGAGCTGCACCTTCCCATGGCAGATCTGATACTAATGATGGCTTCTTGATATATGGTGTAACTTCTCGAATGAACTTAACTAGAATAAAAAATCAAAGAAGGAGGTCAGTATTTTTGTTTCTTATGAAAAAATGGCAACTGATATATACACAGACATGACATAACTAGGAGTGGGCAGAAAAATCTATTCTGTTAAAGAGCCAGTACGCTGAATTTTAGGATCGACAGGCACATAATTCAAACAAAGGACCACTACTCTAGTTTAAAAACTACTCCACTCTGCAGCATCAGGACTCGAACTCAGGGCCTCACACATATGAGGCATACCTCTACCACTGAGCCACATCCCCAGCCTTACAATCTTTAACTTCTCAGTCTTTGTGTTGTTCCTTCTGCTTAGGACCTTCCTTCTCCCACTGTGTGCTTAGTATTCTTTCTAGGAATCACCCACCTTCTTTGGCTGGACAGTTAAGGTGCTGGCCTTGCATGTAGCCAAATCCAGGAAGATCCCCAGCACCACATATAGTTCCATGAACACTGCCAGGAGTGAACCCTGAGCACAAAGCCAAAAGTAGCCCCTGAGCGCTTCTGGGTGTGGCCCAGTCTCCTTTCTCACACCCTCCAAAAAAATACTTCACCAGCTCTTCCGTCCAATTACCTCTTACTTAGCACCCTGGATTGTGATCTTTTGTTAATACTCCTTCCTATTCCTCTGCTGGCTGTGAGTTCCCTGAAGGCCAGAATTATGGCTTATTTAATTTCACCTAGATCTTAGCCAACCACACCTAGATCTGTGTCTGTTCAGTAACTTGAATAAATGATGGAAACAATATTTGAGTATCATCATCACGAACGATATCCTGGTGATAGATTCAGTAACTCACAAGAGAGTATTGTCTCATTTCAGGGACTCTTAGGGACATCTTAAAATTTCCACCCATGATTTGCCATGTAAAACAAAACTTTCTTTCACACGAGAACCCTTTGGATAGCTGCAATTGGAGACTATTTACCTCTCTTCTCTGCACTAAACAAGTATCTCTAGTTCAGTTCAAGAAAACTCAATCAACATTTTTGTTTGTTTGGGGGCCACACCTGGTGATGTTCAGGGGTCACTCCTAACTTTGCACTCTGGAATTACTCCTGGCAGTGCTCAGGAGACCATATGAGATGTCAGGGATAGAATCCTGGTCAGCCACATGCAAAGCAAATACCCTATTTGCTCTATTTTGGCTCCAGCCCCCTCAATCAACATTTTAAAACAATATATCAATTGTAAAGCATTAGGGCAAAAGAGGTGTGGGATTTTTCATTCTAGAAAAAGGAGCAAAGATACAACCAGCATATTTCTTTTTTTTTTTTTCCTTTGGCATTTTGGGTCACACCGGTCAAAGGTCAGGGGTTACTCCTGGCTCTGCACTCAAGAACTACTCCTGGCGAAGTTTACGGGACCATATGGGATGCTGGGGACTGAACCCGGGTCAGCAGCATGCAAGGCAAATGCCCTACCCGCTGTACTACCTGTTGTACTACCACTCCGGTCCCACACCAGCATATTTCTTGACTGAGGCATGCTGGTAGTCTAACTTTGTGCTTTGAAAGGAGGATTAAGTCACAATAACTTTGACGAAAATTCCATGTTTACAATCACTATCAATGGCAGACTTTGTTTTGAGGGGCATGTAAAGCATTGTACCAACTAATGGACTGCCAAACAGGGGAGATTCTAAATTGCTACTCTTGAGTAATATAGTAGTTAGAAAAGAACCCTTTATGGGGCCTGAGCACTAGTACAGCAGGCAGGGGACTTACTTTGCAGGCAACCAACCTGCGATAGATCCCTGTACCTCATGGAGTCCCCTAGTCCATCAGGAGCGATCCCTAGGTATGGCATTTGCCTTGTATGCAGCCGACCTGAGTTTGATCTCCAGCATCCCATTTGCTACCCAGAGCTCATCAGTCCACTTTAAGTGCAAAGTAAAGAAGAGTAAGCCTTGCACACCACAAGGCATGGTCCAAAGTCAAAAATTTTGTGAAGGGGAGAGAGAGAGAGGGAGGGGGCGGGAAGGGAGTGAGGGGTGAGAGAGAGAGCAGAAAGGAGAGAAAACAGAGAGTGATCTCATGACCCAAGTGCAGTGAGCCATGAGCACCGCTGGGTGTGGTTCCCCCCAAGAAGAAAAGGACACCCTTTATTGATTTACTCAAAAGTTTATTCAACCACACATACCATCCCTGAGCCAATAGCATATGTAAACACACTCATACACAACTTAATGCCTGGTCTTTATTTAAAAAAGCAATGAATTTCACTTGAGCTGACCACAATCACTTCTATCCCCACATAAAATTAACCATCTGAATGGCCGAAGAACTGAGAACAAACATCTGCTTCTAATTTATGTGAGATATAGGAAAGGTGAAAAGTTAATAAAAATATTGTTTTAGTCCTAAACATAGACCGCCCTGGTTGCCCCAGAATTGTAACTTACACTCCCATGAGGCATTTAGGTCAACTCAGAACCCATGATATATTGCAGCAAGTTTCATTTTCCCTGATAAAGACTGACCTCAAAATAGTTAAGCACACTGCGGGCTAGAGAAATGGTACAGCAGGTAGGGCACTTGCTTTGCGCTCAGCTGACCCAGGTTCAATCCCTAGTATCCCATGTGGTTCCCTGAACACCTCCACAAGTGATTCCTGTGTGCAGAGCCAAGAGTAAGCTGTGAGCACCAGTGGGAGTGGCCCCAAAACAAAAATATTTAAGCACTAATGTCTGTAGCGTTTTAGGTGTTTGAATACTGAAGTTAATGTTTTCCCTTCCATGTACTGATCATTTTTATTGGGAAAAAAAAAAAAAGAACAAGAGGTGGGGAGGTAGATGTGCAGTGTAAGTGGAAGAGAGCATGCCTTGCAAATGTGAGGCACTGGGTTCAATTCCCAGAACCACACTGTCCCCACCATTTTACACTCCACGGGCCTCATCATTTTCCCTTAGGTAATTAAACTCGAAAATACTAAAAATAAAATTAGAAAGGAAGGGCTGGAGAGACAGCATTACGAATGAGCTCTCTCTGCATGGGAAACCTGTATTTGGTCCCCAGCATCTTAAATGCTGCCCCAAACAGCCAGGAGTGGCTCTCCCCGACCCAAGCACTGAGCTGGGAGTAGCTCCTGAGCATCATCAGACGTAATCCAAAACAACAACAACGACAACAAAAAACCCTTGAAACTGTAAATATAAAAATTCCTCCTAATTTCACATGTCCTTCCAGACTCTCCTGTCTTTTTTCAGAAACATCATCTTCTCATAAAATACAAGTTCTTCATAAGCATCATTAAAAAATAGTACAGATGAGCCAGAGAGATAGTATTGTGGGTAAGACATTTGCCTTGAATGCAATCAACCTGGATTTGATCTCTAGTACCCCATATATGGTCCCCTGAGTCTGCCAGAAGTGATGCTTGAGCACAGCTGGGTTTGACCCCCGAAAACAAAAACTTAGCTATGAAGGGCCAGAGATGTTGTTCAGTAGTAGAGTACTGTCTCTTGTGAGCACTTGTGAGAACCTGGGTTAATTCCTGGTAACACACAGTCCCCAAGCAACACTGGGAGTGAGCAACAAGCTAAATGAAGTTCTTGTAGACCCTGGAAGGGGTGAAGGGAGGTTCCTCCTGGCTGTGTTCGGGGAATCACTGGATGCTGGGTATCAAACACAAAATTTCCAGCAATTTTAAGCCATTGTTTCTCAAAATTCATAAAGAAATAAGGTCAGAGTGATAGTACAGGAGATAGGGCTCTTGCCTGGCATGCATCTCAGATGGTCCCCCAAACATTGCCAGGTGTAATTCCTGAGTATACAGTCAGGAGTAACCCCTGAGCATTGCAAGCTGTGGCCCAAAACAATAAAAGTCAAGAAAAAATTATAAAGAAATAAACAAGTAAATATTCAAATAAACAGTAATAATGATGGTCCTCATTCCCCTGACCCTGAAAGAGCCCCCAGTATGCCATCGGGCTACACTAGCACATGACAGGGATGAATGGAGACATTACTGGTGCCCACTCGAGCAAATCGATGAACAATGGGGTGATAGTGATAGTGGCAGAAACAAGTAAATATGGAAAGAGAAAAAGGATTGTGTTCAAGATAGAATGCAAATGTCTCCTGAGGCAGAAGAAAGTCCCATGAAATAAGAGAATCACACAGCCTATGTTGGGATGCCAACAATTCGAAAATGCAGTGTATCCTGAATTGCAATTTTCCAGATTAGCACGCCCAAAGTTCCCTTTGTCTTATGACTTAACTCTAATATAACTCCTTTCTTCTTGCTATTCAAGAGGAGGAAAAAGTTCTCGCAAGGAAGTCCAGGACGCAAGCCTGCCCTCAGAAGTAGCTATATGTGCTTATTAAGATGGAATCTCAACATTATCTGGTTTTTAATAAATATCTGTTGTTGTTTATATGTCAGTCCTGGTATTTCCAGTTCACTGTGTTACCCATCTTTCCTTCTCCATTTTAATCTAAGATCTGTCCAAGTCAAGAAATGGCCTTTTCGGGGGGGTTGGAGGGGAACTTAGCACACCTGGTGGCATTCAAGGGCTCTTCCAGCTCTGTGTTTCAGGATCAGTTCCCATGATGCTCAGAGGACCGTGGAGTGCTGTGGATGCGACCTGAGCCTCCTGCATGCAAAGCACGTGCTCAGCCTTTGATATCGTCTCTTTGGCCTGAGAAACCCTTCTTGAAAACTTCAGATTACTGTTGGCATAGCAAGGGGAAAGTTCCCTTTTTAAACCCCTGAGCTATTAAAAAATGTAATAAACAAGAATACAGTCTGAGCTAGAGTGTATTCCAAATACGCCCAGAAATAAGGTAGCTCTGAAATGTATTCCCAGCAATTAAACTTCCATAACTTGAAAATTATGTCTTTTAATAAAATTATGCAAACTGGCAAAAAAAATGTAGGGGCCTCTGGGGCTTTGTGTTATTTACTGTATAATTTCTGCAGAGTAGTCTTTTTTACTGTTATATAGTGAAACTAGTTGTGGATCATTTATAGCTTTAAAATTAATTTAACAT